TATGCTGACGGGGCATCAGTGAGGGATGATAGGCGAGGATGGAAATAGGTCAGTTGGCCTGTCGTGACGATAGCTTTTTGAATTAACTATGATGTTTTCCGAGGGGAACCACGTGGAGGTCGACTGATTGATTGACAGATTGAGTAAAGTCCCCATTACTCACAATCTCTTTATCCGATCCAACTAGTTTATATTGTCAAAAGCTTAAATAGACATTTTTTTTATTGGATAAAAATGGAATGGTAACCCTGCCTGCGCTAACGGGATACGCTGGCGGGGCACCAGTGAATGGTGATCGATGAGGATGAAAACAAGCCAGTTAGCCCATCATGGTGAATTCATCTGGATTTAATCATGATAGTATCCAGGGAGAACTGCGAAGAGGTCGACCTGGTTGGGTATATTGCTAGCAATGGGATTCTTAGTCTTCATTACTAACAATCTCTTTCCCCCCTATAAAATGGACATATTGTAATTTAAGATTTTTTACAATACATTAAATTAATAGACAAAATTACAAAGGGACAATCACTTCATAGTAAATCATAAACATTTATGAAAATATTCAGTATTAGCAAAAATATCGTGTAATGTATGTATGTACAAAAAAGAAATACAAGCTAAAAGTGGCTGAAAGTTACATCAAACATAAATTTAACTAGGATTATTTTTAATAAACGTAATAAACTAATGAACATTCCGTACATATTGCCACTTAATATTTTCATACTGACGGAAAATCTAAATCGTGTGGTGTTACGTAGTTTGGAAAAAAATATATATTAATATTTGAATTTAAATTTACTCAAACCAATAGCGTTTTAATAAAAATACGCTGTATATTTTTCATATCCTCTGTAATAGGGTCACGAAAGTATACTTCTGCATCTGTGCCAAATATGTATTTAATTTATAACTATAATATTTCCGGGAGGAAACGGCTGTGCATTACCTACAGACATACATAATGTATATGGCTCTAACTATTTTACGTACGTATATACACTGCAATACATGGTGTATTCTGTTTGAAAATATTTTTTGTTAAACCTGTATGTGGGAATTTTAAAATATAACGGGTTGTATAATTTAACCTTTCGACTGCTTGTTTCAACAGAAATGTTAAATTAATTTTCAACTTCAAAAAAGGAGGTTTTCATCTCAGTTGTATTTTATGTGATAACTCTATCAGTTATAAAATGATTTGGATTTGAAAGAACTGTATACTCCTGTCATTAATAAAAAAAAGTGCATATTGTGGAAGAAGCGAAAGAGGTTTGTTTGAATCGAAGCATTTGGCGTTCCATTGTTTCTGCCTATCCTAATGGGAGACAGGCGTGACAGATATGTATGTATGTATGCATGCATATTATAGTAATAAACTGTCAAACACATGTTTGTAGGGAGTATTTGAATATAGTATTTGTAAGTAGTGTATATAGTACTACATACACGATTTTCCAAATTTTAAATTAAAAATATGCATTGCCTACTTCAACATGAATAAGGACAGAAGGCAAAATTGGAATGTTTTCCGTTTATGAATACTTTTCATATTTCACTAAACTTCAAAGGAATCCATTAGTTTCATTGAATGTAATATGTAAAATAAAACTTCAATATGGCTGAATATTAATTTATTAATTCGTGTAAATCCATATAATCCACCAGTAAATAGAAAGAACGTTGTAGTTGTAGTTAGGGTTGTCAATCCAACTCACATTAAGCATTGATCTCATTCATATTCGAGGAACTGTGTAGTGCAGTGGTTCAGTTTCCGGTTCGATTATCGTACGGGCACGGAATATGTAATAGGTGCGGATAAATTTGGAAATGTATTTTTTCTATTTTCACTCGGGTCTAGGTCGGGTCGTGCTGATGTTAATTTTTCTCGTTAGTTTCTCATTATTTGACTCTCATTGTTTGGCACTTATATTATTCTTGTGTATTTGTATTTTTTGGTTGTCTTAAAATTCGATAGCTTATGATAGTGATATTGTTGTTAAAAGTTTCACTGGTTGCAGTTGTGACTACTATTAAGTTTTATTTGTTAATATCTCATTAGTCATTAGAAATACAGTGAAGATCGCAAGAATTTTGACTTTTGCAGTCCTGGGTTTAGTCCTTTGATCGTAATGCTGAATCCCATTTTTAGCGATTAATATTAAAGTTAATAGTTTTATTCTGTATTTTGCATTGAGAAGTAAAAAAATTTGGTTTCGTATTACTGTTTTTAAATTTAGAATTCACTTCTTTTGTTTATTTCTAGATTCCAAATTTAAATATATATATAAATGAAACTTAAATATATATAGTGCGTTTTTTATAGAGACGACAGCCCTACTGAAAATGCGTGTTACCTACACCTTGTTTTATAGGCCAATAAAGGTAATAGAGGCAGTAGTTTCTCACGCGAAAAATCCCTGTGCGAACACCATAACTGTAACCAAGTGAGGTTAATGCTATTCATCGCGGCCCCTAAGCGCGGGTAAAGCTCGCCATTGACGGTAGGCTCACACGATAAGTCGCGGCGCGGCGGCCGACGCTTGAACCTAATGATATTTGGAGATCGCGAGGCGGGAAACGTTGATAGATTGGCAGTTTGAGATCATGAGTCCATATAAAACCTACGCTTGAAAGTTTGCAATGTAGCATGTGTTGGACGTATATATATTTGGCTTGCATTAGTTAGTTTTATATAGTAATATTTTATGTATGTATATATTTATTTAATATATTATGTGTATGTTTATATTATATGAATTTATCAAGTATTGCTTTATTTTTCCTCTATTCAAAAATTACAAGTGTAAATAAAGTATAAATAAATAAATAAATATATTAACAGTCGAGAAGCAGCATTTAATTAATTGTGATGGTCAACAGAAATGTTTATTTGTTGACTAACTTTTTGCTCGTTATTTAATACGTGTTGTTTCAGAAATAGGAAAACCAATGAGCACTTCTAGATGGCGTATTAATATAAAACATACGCCAGATTTAAAGTTGGACCCTTAGAAACATAATTGTGAAGTTCGCACCAATTTAGTGCAGTAGTTTTTACGTGATGCCAGAACAAACATACATACACATATTCTATTGGTCTTATTAAAATCCCTCAGTTTTTTTTTTCAATATCTTACGTTAAGACATCTACTTACAATTTTATTATATTAGTAAGATAAGATATGATGTAAGGTAACCCTTGAATGAAGCTAGGATGAAATCAGATCAGTTGGGCCATCGTGAAGAATTTACCTGGAATTAACCGCGATAGTGTCCAGGAGACCGAGTGAAGGAATGACCTTAATATTGATAGCAATCGGACAGCAAGTTCACTTTATAATGTCTTAGAGAGAGATGCATTGATCTGTGTCTCTGTTTAAGAGCATTTTTGGCTGTAATGGTTACAAGTATTGACGTATTAAAAGTTACTTTCCAGATGGAGCGTGGTCTCTTAAAAAGTACATATAATATGTATTTTCAAAAATGTTTTTGCGCAGCATTGCTTGCATCTTAAGGTCGTCTGGTGTCCACCAGATGATTCAGGGGTGGGCACGATCCACTCTGCTCTCCCTTTGGATACGCAAATGATTACAGGGAGCTTGATTTAACCTTGTCATGTATATAAATAAAGTCCCTTTAAATTACCATATTAAGCGAATACAAGAAATAGTTCATTCCGGTCAATTTTAATGATAAAATAATATTGTCCGTTATGTTAGGCTGTTCATTGTTCATTTCGGGGAATGGTCTTCGTGTTATTGGAGCAAAATTCATTATGAGCCAATCAAATATGATACGGGAAACATTTAACGTTTACACGCATGTAGGTGTACCGGAACAAGAGCCTTTTTCGTTTGAAAGTTTTCGTAACTTCAGTCGTCACAAAATTAATATGGGACTAATATAAGAGTATTAGGGGAAAGGGATTGTTAGCATTGGAGTTTGACAGCCCCATTGCTAGCAATATGCCCTATTAGGTCAACCTCCACGTATTTCCCCCTGGAAACCATCGTGAACAATTCTCGTTGAATTCGTCACGATGAGCTAACTGACCTACTTCATACTCACCTATCATTTTTCACTGGTGCCCCGCCGGTGTATACCGATAGCGCAGGTGGGGTTACTAGTTCATTAACACCTATAAAAAAATATGGAAGTATTTCCGTAAAGTATCGATTGCAATAAAATCATTAAAATAGCTTTAGAATTTGCGAAGTTATAAAGTAGCGTAATATTTTCTTCTCCTTTTTTAAGTCGTTTAAAAATAGTGTCGTTCCTAAACATTTTTTCCTACAAAAAAACTTTTTCATTTTAGAAAAAAATTAAAGCGGTTCACAATTAGTGAAGAAAGTTGATTTGTCAATCTCTTCCTTTTATTAAGTCGTTAGAAAAATCCCAAGTTTGTATATTAAAAATGTTTTTGACTATTTTAAAATACTTGAATAATCAATTCCAAATAATATCTAAAGCAACCGAGAGAGAGAGTAGAGTAGAGAAAGAGTTTGTGCTCCAGTATTGTGACTTATAAATTATAAGCTCGTGAATTCGAACCTGTCTGGCACAGAAACCTTGTGCGTTAATTTAAACTCTTCGGTGATAAAAATACCGATAACAAATCGAAATTAATAAAAATGATGATGATAAGTAAAATGATTAATTGACTCTTCCCCCATCTACTCACTTCTATCTGTGCCTCTTTAACCGAAGGTTGTCTGTAAGAAATTGTCCTAGCGATGAGATCGCCTTTTGTACTTTTATGTGTATATTTTAATCTGTATTTTGTGTTACTGTATATTACTTGAATTGTTCAATTGTTATTGTATTATCTTTATATTTCTGGTGCAATAAAGAGTTAAATAATTTAAATAAATAAGCTCGCTTCCTGTGCTATTAACTTTTTCTATTTAGAAAAAGTTTGGATTTAATGTCTCTGTCATCAAGGATTATAGTCATAGACTGATTTTTTAATTTGTATAATTTTTTCCTTATTTCAGATCGGTTCATTGAAGCATTACTACTTGCTGTCACATCATGAAATCAAGAAGCGATCAACTGAGCCAAGTCACGAACATCATAGAAAATTAAATGACGAGCCTCAGGTAAGTTTAAACAATTTAAAAGGTTACTGACTTGTAATTAATTTCAATATTATACACCAACTTGTTTTGCAAGGCCAGGATGTTTTGATCGACTTTTTGATCATATGGTCACGTGGTCTCGGCGTAGAATAGGCCACCTCTTCCTTTCCCGTGTGTGTCGTAAGAGGCGACTAAGAGTCATTTACCATCAGGTGAGCCGCATGCTCGTTTGCCCCTTGTGTTGTAAAAAAAAATAAGAGAGGGCGAGGGTTGAGTATCAGCGTCCCTTTAGAAACATCTCTAGAGCCTAACTGCGGTTATCAATATGCCTGCTAAGCGTGGAATTTACTAGCAAAACCCCCCAAGGGGAAGCCTTATGTTCAGCAATGGACAGATAAGGGTGAACATGACATGATGATATACCAGAGGGAGACTTTGGACAAAAGTCGATTGCTTGGGTACCTCTGTCCCATTCGTGTTTCAATCGTGAAGCAGTTGTGTTTGCATGACTGTGTTTCGGTTTGAAGGGTGGGATATGGCGTGAATTTACTGGGTACAGAGGAACAATACCTGAGTCCTCAGGAATGGCAACGCATGGGGGTATCATGGGCGAAACAGTATACTCTGTTATGTCCATGGTACTGCTCATGTCTATAGGCGACAGTTACCACTTTCCATCAGGTGGACCGTCAGCTTGTTTGCCATTCTAAGTTGTATAAAAAAAAACATCATATGCAGTTTATATTCCTTCACAATCGCAAATACTAGCCGCTTTATTCATGAAAATTAAAACTATCTACAAACTTATTTTTACTATTAAAGTGTTTTCTCCTTGTCTTTCAAATTAAGAAATGTCTGCAGAAGAAAAAGACAAAATAGTTCAATAGCTAAAATTGTTTATAAGAGATTCACGTGTTAATGGATAAGGGGATACTATACCTATATTAATTTTCATTACAATTGGCTTAGCCGTTAAGGCCGGAAAAGGTAACTAAAATACTCCTTTTTGCATCTGCAATATTGGTAAAGACTATTGTAACCCCCGGTGTTGTCTGCGTGAATTGTGTCTAGCATATCCTAAGTGTTACATGTTGATTTTGGGGATGCCTGACTAGTTTCGGGCTCTATAGAAGCCTTTACTTATAAGCGCGGTTCAAGAGTATATCGCGAGTAGCACTCGTGTTATGTAAGTAAAGCCGACATACATAATTACAACATAGTATGACTCACGAAAGTTATACACGCAATTTCTTCGTCATGTTAAAGTTATGAATGCTCTTAATCTACTTGTTTTCATTAACAGTAATATATTATGTCTATAAAACCAGTGTTATAGATATGTTCATCTTATTATGCAGTCTTAACTATCAAAGATGCCATTTTGCCAAATATATTTGCTATCATAAGGGAAATTGTTATTTTATTCGTATCTGTCTATCGCATACATGAAGTGTGAATTTTATTACAATGTAAGAAAGTAGTTTTATGAATATGCTTCATCTATTTGCTTCTCACCTCCGCATCGAAAAAATTGTCGGGCGCGAAAGAGACAACAGAAAAGTCACGTTCTAATATTCCTTTTTCTCACAATTCGAGATTTATGTAGTTCGAACAGTCCTGCTATAAATAACCCAGTTTGGGCCCGTCCACATTTTTACGTTTGCTGTCATACGGAGTACGCAACGTCACACAACGCCAACTTCTGCCATTCGCAGAAATCTCATCTGCAAATCCCGATTGATTTCTTTTGGACCTTTTACTGAGCTCTGGGGTTGGGTGCTTCGGTTACTATAAACATATATGTTGCAGGAAAACGGGGACACTAGATATTTCGTGAAATGCCTAAGGATACTTCCATTATGGTACACTCTTAGTATCCCTATGTCGATGAGGTCAACATTTCAATCTATTATATCTTTTTTGTAAATATAATGCCTAATAGTCTTAAAAGTAATGTATGTTAGATATCATGTAAATAACATTTAAAAATCGTGCTTATTATAATCGGAGACACAACCGTATCTAAAGTGTATTTAATTAATATCGATGTAATTGATCTTGCTATATTTTTGCTAAATAAATGCTTTCATTAATTCATCGACGTATTCAGTAATTCGTCATATCATTCAACTAAACACAGAAAGTTTCAAGTTATTAAATAAAACTAAAATAATCTTATAGGAATGAGGTTTTAATAACATATTTGGTTTCTAAAATTTTCAAAATAAGTAAGATATATAATTTCCCATTTTATTAGTTTAGTGAAATTACTGTATTACTAAATGTATTGTATTTTGTCATATATACAGAATGTTTTAGCAAGAATACGTATTAGATTAGATTACAATATTCGACATTACTTGTAATTTCAATATATTTCTTAGATATGTTTATAAAAGTCCTAATACTCCAATTTTCCTGCGACATAAAGCAAATTAAATGTAATGTAATTCATTATATTATTGTTTCCTGTAGTTGGAAAATGTTTGTTGTCGATCGAATTATTTGGTTATATTTTTATGTTTTTCTGGGATATGTCTTATTTAAAAATCTTAATTTCTATATTTCAATATACGCGTCATGGTCTTGATTGTAAGCATAGTATGATATGTCTTTCATCATCATCATCAGCCTTTATCTGTCTGGTTTTTGTCAGTAGTTGCCACGCTTGGCAGGCGGATTGACAACCGCAGTTAGGCTTTGAAGATGTTTTAAGAGGGACGCTGCTGCCCATCTCTCGCCTTCCCTAAGTCGCCTCTTACGACACCCACGAGAAAGGAACTCAAAAACTACTTAACTAATTAAAAACGAGTAACCTAGGATACCTATATATTATTGTAGAAAATTCTGTCTACAGTGCAAAGCCAGGCTGGATTGCTAGTTAAAGTATGTAAAGACTCTTGTATGGTTACCTTTAGTCAATAAAGCATCCTTTACCAGATGGAGTACAAAAGTCGTCTGCATGGGTACGTCTATCCCATTCGTGATTTTGCCATATAGCAGTTGTGTTTACATGGCTGTGTTTTTACCACTTTTAATTAGATGGGCTGTCAGTTTGTTTGCTATTCTAAGTATCAAAAAAAAAATATTAATTAAGTTTAAATTAAAAATTGTATTTTATTGTATACTACAAAAGTCACTAAGTTGATTATCCCAGTACGCGTCGTACTATCAATCATGTACGTGTAGTACCCACAAATGTAGGACTAGTTTGTGACACAGAGATACCGCGGCCTGTCAAGTGTCATAAATCGACGTCACGACTCACATTTACAATTTGAATATTTTATATAAACTCACGCGTACTGTAAATAAACAGTGCTCTAGAAAAAATTGTTTCCGAGTGGTGCACGCAGAGGAAGGGTGCCGCCCTCTCTCGGGTGTGAGGATAAGATAAAGGTAGGCAGTTGTCCACTGAAGCGTGCATGTAGACATAGACATGTTTCTTACGCCTCTATTTATATCACTTGACCTTTATAGGTTAGTTTATGGATTCGGACGTCATGGATATTGATTTATATATTATAAATAAATATATTTATATAAAATTTAAATATTATAAATAAATTATATATAAATAAGACGGGTCGATAATCAGGTTATGTAGTATTATTATTATTATGTAGTTATTATATATGTTATTGTTAATGAGTATGTTTAGAACTGATTTTAGAGGTACTAATAAATCATATGTCGAAATATTCCGGCATAGAATGTGCTACCCCTTCCTTTATAATATGGTCGAGGAATTCAGTATCTAAGAGTACCACTTTCTGGATAATTCCCGGAAGTGAACTGCCCTGGAATCCCAATCGTCTGAGGTGTTATTCCCGACTGATTGAGATAAGACCGTTTACAACGAAATGACATGATGAAATGTCATGTCACCTTCCACAAAAATGTTTAAATGTTGTTATTAACAACAATTAATGATTTATTTCAAACTAAAATATTATATTGTATCATTTAAAATGTATAGTGTAACTCTATTAGCTACGATTTGATGAAAATCAGGGTTTAGTCTGAGCTTCAACCATATATGAGCTCGCGCTGGGATCTAAGAGATTAAATAAGGTTTTTTTTTTTTTGATGGGTGAATATATAATAAACCATTCATTCATTTAAAATGTATAGTGTCGAACTGAAAACTATTAGCTACGATTTGATGAATTCATCAGGAATTAACCATGATAGTTTCAAACCATATATTGGGTATATTGCGCAATGGGATTCTCAGTCTCCAGATTAAATAAGGTTAAGGTCATAGATTATGGATCTACGCCTACAGTACATATATATAATATACATAAGTACTCTCTCTCTTCGTCCTCTTCATTACTGAAGGTCGTGTCCTTGAAAGGTGTCTGTTGCCTCTCTTATGATGTTATTCCAACATACATAAATAAATTAATAAATTAATAAGTGTGTTTTAATAAAAATGGTAGTAAATTTCAAGAATTCTTGTAACGAGTATATATTTTAAGTCTCTTCTCAATTAAAGTGATGATAAGCATCTTTACGATTAACGATGTTCTTTACCACACACGATGTCCTTCATAATATAAATTTCTGTTTCAACTCGATCTTACAATATACATTCCTCTTTTTGAGTAATAAGTACACAAGTTTGGCAAAGATTTTCTGTTGAGACCCTTTTTTTATGCAACTTAGAATGGCAAATAAGCTGACGGCCCACCTGATGGAAAGTGGTAGCCGTTGCCTATAGACATGAGCAGTACCATGGACGTAACAGATTATACTGTTTGGCCCATAATACCCCCTATGCGTTGTAATTCCTGGGGACTCAGGTGTTATTCCTCTGTACCCTGTAAATTCACTGCCAAATCCCACTCTTCAAATCGAAACACAGCCATGCAAACACAACTGCTTCACGCTAGAAACACGAATGGGATAGAGGTTCCCAAGTAAATGACTTTTGTACAAAGTCTTCCTCTGATAAACACTTAAGGAGAGAAACACGAGTGGTACAAATGTACCCAAGCAGTCCACTTCTTCTATTA